GAGACGCGCGGCGCGGACCGGGCACAGGGACGCACGCAGCCGACCCCTCCTCGCTTCATCCCCAAGGGCGCTTCGCCACCGTCGCATCACCTCTCACTTTCGGCTTGCACGCACCGAGCCGGCATGATGTATCAGGGCTTCGCCGGAGAATACGAGGCGCCGTCCTCCCGCTGCAGCAGCGCTTCCCCGGCCGGGGACAGCCTCACCTATTACCCCTCCCCGGCGGACTCATTCTCGAGCATGGGCTCGCCTGTCAACCCGCAGGTGAGTTGCCGAGCGTGTCGGCTGCGCTCCTGGCCGGGGCAGGAGCGCTCGGGAGGGGATGGGACGGGAGCGGGTGGCGCGGGGCTGGCCGTGTCCGCGGAGGAGGTCAGGCCGGGGACTGGCATGGGGAGCGGCCCCGGTGCCCAGGCGGGGCGGTCGGGGGGTGCCGTAGCCCGGGCCGCGCTCTGCGGCGGGTGTGTAAAGCGGCTTCATTGATAAAACGCGAGTTCATTGAGGAGACTCCGGAGCAGCGTCTGCGTCAGCGCGGACGTCAGAGATATTTATAACAGGCCGCTCTCGTGTGGAGCCGGCGCTGGCAGCGCGGCGCCGCGGCCCCGGGGACGGCGGGGAGCGGCCCGGGCGCTCCGCTGACGGCAGCCCCCCTTCCTCTGACCTACAGGACTTCTGCACCGACCTGGCCGCCTCCAGCGCCAGCTTTGTACCTACGGTGACGGCTATCTCCACCAGCCCCGACCTGCAGTGGTTGGTGCAGCCCACTCTCATCTCGTCAGTGGCTCCCTCCCAGAGCCGCGGGCACCCCTACGGCGTCTCGGCAGCCGCCCCCAGCACCTACTCCCGCCCCGCAGTGCTGAAGGCGCCGGGCGGCCGCGGACAGAGCATCGGCCGCCGGGGCAAAGTCGAGCAGGTGAGTGCGGATCGGAGTTGCTGGGGGGAGTGGGGGGACGCGGCGCCGGCGGGTTGCCCTGGACGGGGGACGCCGGGCTGGCAGCGGGACTGAGCGCTCTCTCTCTGCCCGCAGCTGTCCCCGGAGGAGGAGGAAAAGAGAAGGATCCGCCGGGAACGGAACAAGATGGCAGCGGCCAAGTGCCGCAACCGGCGGCGGGAGCTCACCGACACGCTGCAGGCGGTAAGTGCCGCCCGGGAGGTGGCGGGGGAAGAGGGAGTACCGGGGGCGGGGATGACAGGAGGAAGGGGACTCCAGCTGGGAGTGATGCCGGCCCTGGCTGACAGCCCGCTCTCTCTGCAGGAGACCGACCAGCTGGAGGAGGAGAAGTCCGCGCTGCAGGCGGAGATTGCTAACCTGCTGAAGGAGAAGGAGAAGCTGGAGTTTATCCTGGCGGCCCACCGGCCCGCCTGCAAGATGCCCGAGGAGTTGTGCTTCTCCGAGGAGCTGGCAGCTGCCAGCGCCGCTACCGCGCTGGACCTGGGCACCCCCAGCCCCCCCATGACCGAGGAGGCTGCCTTTGCTCTGCCGCTGATGCCTGAAGCGCCGCCGGCCGTGCCGCCCAAGGAGACCAGCAGCAGCGGGCTGGAGCTGAAGGCTGAGCCCTTCGACGAGCTGCTCTTCTCCACGGGCCCGCGGGAGGCCTCCCGCTCTGTGCCCGACATGGACCTGCCTGGCGCCTCCTCCTTCTACCCGTCGGACTGGGAGTCGCTGACTGCCGGGACCAGCGGCGAGCTGGAGCCCCTCTGCACCCCTGTGGTGACCTGCACCCCGTGTCCCAGCACCTACACCTCCACCTTCGTCTTCACCTACCCCGAGGCAGAGGCCTTCCCCAGCTGCGCTGCCGCGCACCGGAAGGGCAGCAGCAGCAACGAGCCCTCGTCCGACTCCCTCAGCTCCCCCACCCTCCTGGCTTTGTGAAGGGCTCCGGCACTGACTGACCTGCTGGGCCCCCTCCCCTGCCCACGCACCCCCACGGACTTGCAGCTGTGCCCCATGGGGCTCCCCAGGCCTGGGGAGGGCCCTGCCACCGCCACCCCCTGTCTGGCCTGGCGCCCCGGGGCCTGGCAGAGCGTCATGCACCGAGGTCTCTTACCTCTTCCAGAGATGTAGCAAATCGCATGGAGTTTGTCTTGTCCCCAGTGGCCCATCCATGAGAGCTGGTAGTCTGTAGCATGTCCCACATGGCTGGGTAGGTGACTCCCTCCCCTCCTTAGTATCACTAGCATTAACTAATTAATCTCTTGGTTTTAAATGATTGGAATTTAACCTGGTGCTGGGTATCTCCAACTCGTATCTAGTGCAGCTGATTAACAATAACTACTGTGTTCCTGGCAATATCGTGTTCTGATGACTTAGCAATGACCCATCTTATGTGGGGGGAAAGAGACTCTATTTTATTTTCTAGTAGGTAGATAAATAGCTATATCCATGTACTGTAGTTCTACATTGATGTTCATTGTAACTTTACTGATCATGCATTGTTGAGGTGGTCTGAATGTTCTGACATAAGTTTTCCATGAAAACGTTTTTATTGTGTTTTTAATTTATTTATTAAGACGGATTCTCAGATATTTATATTTTTATTTTATTTTTTTCTACCTTGAGGTCTTTTTTGACATGTGGAAAGTGAATTTGGATGAAACTTAAGCATTGTTTGCTTATTATTGTTCAGAGACATTGTCAATAAAAGCATTTAAGTTGACTGCTGGAGCTGTCCTTGTGTTACCTTTTGCACTTGCTTCCCTGTGACCTCAAAGGGGTTCTCTAGCCTTTAATTTTGTCTGGGCCTTATAAACTGTAGACACCTGCAATCTGCCTGAGAACTAAGGCTGCATAAGGGTGGTAATACCATTTAGGCCAGCCCTGTCCTTGTCCTGGTGCTAGTCAGGGCAGGCTGTGGTTACACCCATTCCGGTAGGCACCTGGGTCACTCCCTACAGCCTTTCCCAGCTGATCTGTCTGCGTCTGGTCCCCTTCAGTGTCTGTGTGTCACCTGCTGTGGCCTTTCACCTGCTAGCTGCAGGTCTTGCTGGAAAGGTGGCGAAAGGGCATCTCTAGGCTGGGGCCCACACGATCATTTCCATGTGCCTAACAGCTCAACCTCCTTGTCCCTGGATGTGGTCTGGTTCCTCCAGGAGTAGCTGTGTGGCCCATCTTCTTTGGACATAAGGGGATGAGAGAGGCCTGTGCACTCCTCACTTTGTGGCGAGTGGTATAAAGGCAAACCACTGGCTCTTCAGCTTCTACTAAAGCTGGCCCAGCCCTTGAATGAATGAGTTATAGCAAATGGCACACATGTTCTAGGAATGTGCTGCCTCCTTGGGGTCTCTGAAAATGCGGTCTTTCCTGCTGAGTCAGCTGAGAAAGGCTGCTGCCCTCTGTAACCCCTGCTGCTTGTGCAGTGAGATGTGCTCTGCTGGCAGAACAGCAGCTGGGCCGGGTTGTCCCTGCTTGCAGAGCAGTGGTCTGCTCCCTCCCTGATGGCTACACGTGAAGGGTCCCCTGAGGGTGGCAAGGCCTCCCTGACAGCCTCCAGCCCTGTCACTCCAATTTGAGAACTCCTGTCTCAAGGTGAAAGCAAAGATGTCCAGCTGAAGGCCATCTTGTCACCCTGGTCTCAGGGAATCTCTGTGGGCTGGCATTCAGGGTCAGGTTTCTTTAAATCCATGTTTCCTGGTCACTGCAGCAGGCTCTGCTTTTTTCCACCCCTTCCCTAATCAGAACACACACAGGATCTGTCTCATCTCAGCAGTGAGTATTGCAGCTCCATGACTTGCTCAACAAGGCCAGCCCTGTGTAAAAGCAAATATTACAGGCGCAGTTTCTCATCTTTCAACATTAATCTGTAGGCAGAGCTGACAAGTGATGAAGACTAATCCCACTTGCTACTAAGAAGCAGCTACTTTCACACTGCCACTTGAGTTTACAGGGGCAACACCCAGGTGCAGCAAATGCACAGAAGCACTGAACCATGGAGCAGTCATGTAGGTGGTGGGTGATGCTACAAGAGAGTCAGACTTATGTGACAGGTAACCCTGTGAAGTCAGCAAATCTGGAATGACAATGCCGAAAGACCATCAAGTTCAGAGCTGAACAATTCAGGTCTCTGGGAGCCCGTGCGTGCTGCTGAAACAACCAGACATTCAGCAGAGGCAGAAAGAAACAGGGGTCCACAAAGTGCAAAAGTACCACACAGTTCCCTCCAGAGCTAAATTCAGAGGCAGCAGTCCTGCACCCTAACCAAGGCTTCTCTTTTTAACAGAAGTGATAGCAAGTGCCAAGTCCGAGTTATGCAAAGATGTCAGATTCAGGGGTGGCACTACATGAGACCCTTTATGTCTAAGCCCAGGCTCCAGCCTTACTCTTTGCCTTCAGCCACAAACAACCTAGAATTCAGGATGTGCTACATAAAATGTATGCTGTGTTATGAACGTGATTTATCTGCTTCCTAGCACTAGAGAATTACGTAGTGAAGTTGCTTTTAAAACAGGGGGAATCTTGCCACTATCTTCAACTGAGGAATAAAGCAGCAATCCCTGCCTGCAATGTGTTATAAGCATGTGCTTCAATTACAAGCTGTATCTGATCCATCACACAGATACCAGCACAAAGCTTTGTGAAACACAACAATGCAACGAGATAAGACACGTAGGGGGAACGCTCGTGTTATTTCTGACTCCTGTGCTCCTGATCCCTCCGAGGGCAGTCGTGTCATTAATTCTTAGAAGTGCAACTGCAACGCAACGCGAGGCACAGTGGAACTGTTGTCACGAGCTACAGAAAGCAGAGCTGTAAAACAACGCGAAGAGCCTTAAACGCGTTTATGGTGGAAAAAAGCAGGCAGCAGCCGCACTCCCGACGCTCCCGAGCACGCCGCTGCCGGTGCCGCTGCCGGTGCCGGTTCCCGAGCGCGGCGCGGCGCTCCCGCCTCCGCCCGGCCCCGCCGCGCCTGCGCGCGCCCGTGTTTACTGTTTGGTTGCCGGGGCGCCGCGCGCGGGCGCGCCGGGGACGTGACGTGACGTCCCGCTCCCCGCGGGGACGCCGCGAGCCAGCGCCGTGACGCGCGCGCTTCCGGCCGTGCCCATATATGGCAAGGCGGCGGCGCCGCGCTTCCCGGGCGGCGCGGGGCGGCGGGAAGGGGCCCGAGGGCACCGGGACGGGCACCGGGACGGGCACCGGGACACCGCTCCTGCCCGCCCCGCCCGGCTCCTCGCGGGCTGAGCGGGCGGCCTGGCCGCCGCCGCGCCTCCCCCGGCGCTCCGCTGCCCCGGCGGTGTGAGGCGGCAGGAGAAGGAGCGGGGGTTTCGAGCCGCTGGGCGCTGAGCCCCAGCGGAGCTCGCACGTTCGCAGCCCTCGCTGTCCCTGCCCGGCAGCACCCCCCACCCTGGAAATCTCCGTAGCCATCGAGAATTGATCCGTGATGGTGGGAAAACAAAACGAAACAAACCACCCCAACCCCCCGCCCCTACGTAATTGACAACTGGCTTTTATCTCCAGTAGGTGGAAGAAAAGAATTACCTTTTTTTAATATTTTTTTTTTTTACCTGCAGTTGCAGCACAAGAGCAGCCCTACGTTCATCCTTGAACACCCGCTCTGCTGTTAATATTGACATTTGTCTTTTTGTTACTTTTTGTTACTATTTTGTTACTATTTTGTTACAAAAAGTTGACTCTACTACTTTCCGTCAAAATAGAACAGAAAGCTCGCCAAAAGAGTTATCAGAGCCAGTGGACAGTCAAAATAAAAATGGATTATTCAAAGAAGATAAGGTTCTGGAGAAAAATTAAATTAATATTTTGCTCTGTGCTCATTGCAGAGGAACCTAAGAATATTCCTGTACTTATACTTGATTTTGTGAAAGATCTATCGGAGGATGTGTTTCAAGCTGAAGGTCTGTAGAAAAGGTAGTGAAACAAATGGCTAAAATAAAAAGCGTTGCACAATTGGACTGCATTATATTCATCCAAGAGTTCTAAGAGAAGTCAAGACTGAAATAGCTGAGCTGCTTACTAATGGTTTATGTGTAACATTACATTTAGAAGGGCTTTGATAACAGAATCAGGGAAGATAGTTAATATGTCAATTTAAAAAAAAACCAAACAACAACAACAAAAACACCCAAGAGCCTGAAAAGTTCTGTAGAGCTGCTGAGCAATGAGCCTGTTCTCTGTACCAGCCAAGTTAGTGAAAACCTCAAAGAGATGAGCTAGTGGGTGCGGGGAGAAAATGGGGTCCCATGAGAGATGGCAGAGCTTTTCTGATGAGAACTCCTGGTCTCACACAGTTTGGAGTCCTGTGAGGACTCAGCAAAGCATGTGGACAAGAGACATTCAGCTGGTATTTCCTAATTGGGTTTCTAAAAAGTATTCAACAAAATCTGTGAGCAAAACCTTCTGAAGGAACTGTAGAATAAGAGAAGTTTCATGTGGATAGATGACACTGCATTAAAGACCGGTCTCTGTAAGATGGAACCAAAATATTTCTCAGTGCATTGAGTCAGCATGCAAAGTTCCACAAGGATCTGAATTGGAGCCTGTGGACTGAGAGCAAAGGTAGTAAAACATCACAATACAAAGTGAGTGGGTGGTACAATTTGATGTACATGCATGTAAAGTGTTTTAAAGGGGAGGTAATCAATTTCAGTCATACAGAAACAGCCTAGAAGCTGAATTATCACTTGGGAACAAGATCCTGGCATAATAATAGTTCTGTGAAAACCTCAGCTCAAGGCTTGGTAAATGAGCAAATCGAGTGTTAGGACATAAGGAACAAGAGCAAGAGACTAAAAGCAGAGAGTGTCATTGTGGCACGGGATAAATCCATGGTGTGCCAGTGCTTTGAATGCTGTGTACAGTTCTGATCTTTAGAAGGACAGAGAGCATCGTAAGAGGTTCAGACGAGCACATAAATGTTAGGAAGTCTGGGACTGTTCTAGGTCAGAAGAAGGTGAGTTAACTAGGACTCTTCAGCTTCACAGACACAAGTTAGGGGAGGTTTCTTTCAGTGTAAGAATGATGTACAAGAAGCAAAACTCAGGGAAACGTTGAATAAAACCAGATTTGACAAGGTTGCTCATTCCATGTCGTGGGTACTCGTAGAAAACTTTTTTGCCTGATTTTGTGGGTACAACAAGGGGTGCAGTTTTTTTGCTGGTTTTTTTTTTTTTTGAGATGAAAACTCAAATGAATACAAATAAAAGCTCATGAGGACTATTAAATACACAAATATACCCTTTGTCTGTGCAAGTCCTGATTTTGAAATTTCTGTGACCTTAGGGAATACTGCGGTGAGGCAGCACTACACACTGAGCGCTGACTCTGTCCTAACTACTTTTTTCAAGTGGTTGCTACCAGGTAGTGTCAGAAGACTGTGGCTGATAACAGAGAGGGGCAAAAGCTGTGCTTGATTTCATCAAATATGACTATTTCTATGTGGGTTTGTAGGGGTTTAGCTGAACTTTCGCTCCTTCCTGTGCTTCCGTATTGTAATGGCGTTTGAATTTGTTTAAATTACCAGAAGATGTGATCTCATATGTCCGTGCTCCTTATCTGCTCAGATCTTTTGCTGATAAGGTTGTTCTTTGGAGCTGCATCCGGGAGCCTTTCCAGGCAGAGCCAGGCTGGTGACCCAGTGAGGTGCTGAAGTGAAACCAACAACTCCCATTCTTCTCCTTTGGAAACAGCGGATGTCCACAAGGGACCTGGATATTATATCAACAGGATATCATGGGAAAACAAAAGAAGGCTGTAACCAGCATGTGGACAATGTATCTTTATCATTTCCAATTAAGGAGCTCACAGGAGTTCTGTGGTGTCCTGTCCCCTGCCACCCCGTGGCATCTTTAGTCTGCACAACAACAGATTTTCAGCTCTTCTTCACTGATTAGATTTGAGCTCTGTTTTTGTACAAATGTTTTGTAACTTGGTCTGTTGGCTATGGACAACCAGCTGCAACATTAAAGGAGTAATTTTAATTCTGATTGCATCGCATCTTCCACTTGGTAAGGATTGAGTGCTTTTTAAATAGCCCATCTTGAATCTTCTCATGCTCAGGAAGAAGGGAAGAGAAACCAACTCCTAATATAGTATTTATCTGGTTTTGTTTGCAAAATTAAATATTTGCCCTGAATAGGTAATGGTATTGCAAAGGCCATAAAATACAGTAGCAGTGTTAAAGCATATCATCTGAAAGATACATGGAATTCAGATGTTGTGAGGGTATTTGGGTTTTTAAATAAAACATTATTTTGACACTGCTTTGAAGTATATTGGGTGCTTCAGCATGAGAGTGATGAAATTCCTGCTATGAGGCATTTGAATTCTAATTGTAGGAAAAATAACAGTTGTCAGTAGCACACAGGAGAAGGACAAGCTCTGTTGCAGCATTTAGGCATGTGGCATGGCAGTTGAATTAAAATAGTAACGTAACCTAATGGTGATGTGTCACTAACCTCGAGGACACCAGGGAAGATAAAACAAAGTAATTTGCTGTCATTACATAAGAACTGAGGACAAAGCCAAGAATGGGGTTTCGGCACAGATAAGGATTTCACTCTAAGACTTTCAAAGAATTCAGCTCTTCAAAGCCTTAACTATCCATGGGCCTCTCAGATGCTCCCATCCTCTTCATTCTCTTCCCTCTCCCCCTCCTCCCTCTGCCGTGGCTGTGTTTTTTTGCTGCTATTTGCAGAAATTTCCAGGTGCCACAAGCCTGGGTCCCTTGGCTATGCCTGTGCTGCTGAATCAAAGAGGGTAGGAATCAAGCTTGGGCATTTGACTCTTGCTTTTCCACTGTGCTCTGCTACACAGCAATGATTCTGGTTTCTGAAACAGTCTTGGCATGTGTCAAACAGCAATCTCCAAGATGATGGCTGGGTGTAGCTCAGAGGGCAGCATGTGTCCCATGAGCAGTGAGCTGGACTGTGAGACTGGACCCCCTCCACTCTTCTGAGTGATCCAGAAAGATCCCAGAAGGTTTCATACTGTCAAATAAGCCTCTGTGCTGAGGCATATGACAAGTCCTTTAGCTTCATGTTGTAAATCATCCCTCTGGGCTATGGCACAAGGTCTCTTTTATTAAAATCTGCCTGTTTGAAATAACACTCCTGAAATAATACTTACTTAAGACCACGTGTAGTTTGGGGGTGACCAAACTACAGGTGCTGTGTGGTGCGGACATGGTGATTGACTGCCCAGCCCTTCCACCACAGAACAGCTCCTGCCAAGCTTCACTTGGCATTGTAGATACTGCCTGTGCCAGGCTATAAACAAGCTCTGGCAGGTTAGAGGATTTACCTTGTTCTAAGGGTTGTGTAACAAGTTCAGTACTCTGAAAGGAATCCCGATGACTGCAGTGTTTGATAAATTATCTCCAAATCATCCTAAATATGGGGTAGGATTTAAGGGAAACACAAACTGATGTTTTTCACTCAATGGCAGACATGTAGCTGTAATTGGTGGGAAACATGGTGAAATAACACACACGAAAACGTGCTATTCTACCTGGATGCGTATTTTCAAGATCTTTGTTTCTGTCTGGGAGCTAAGTCCAGGGGCATGGCAAGTTGGGATGGTTTCTACGCTTTAAGAACCACAAAATAATAGTCACATGAACTACCTATGCCTCATCCCTCAGAAGGGATGATCCTGATGAGGAACATCTATTTGAGAAAAGTTTTATCCATATTCTACATAGCTTTACGTTCCAAGGGCAAATGCTTCGCAGGATCTTAGTCCTGACCATTTAGTCAAGAGCTAATGAAATTCTTTTTGTTGCTGTTTTACTCGTTATTGCAGAAAGGCACTACAGGATTGCAAGACTCTTGCTCATTACACAGAATAGTATTAACATGGCTTCTTCATAAACCTGTCATATAGTTATGTCATTAACATAAGTCAAGATTTGCCAAGAAAGCTTTAGCACTTCAGAATTGAGGTTTTTTAAAAATATCTTTTAGTATGTATATTTGAGAAAGATTTTACTGTGCAAGTATTCTCATGCCAAAAATAAATGGAACTTATTTGCTTATTCCTTATAGAGTAGGTAAGGATGGTTCCGGAACCAATGAGATGGTTCTGGAACAGTGATACTTCTGTGTTTGCAGTAAAAGTGCCAACCTATTCCATTTGTTGGATATATGGGATAGAGTGTAACTCCATGCAGTCAAACCAAGCACAAATCACTTTATTTGTGACCAAAGCTGGCAATATTTTTTCACTCTGTGCCACTTTGTCACTTGCTGTTGTATAATCAGAGAGTAACTGTGGCTGAAGGCCTAAACATCAGTCGGGTGCATGTGAGAATGATTATCATAGCTAACTTAAGGCACGTGTAGTAGCACAGGGAATGACCTCACAGCTTCCAATCTTATAATAAATATAGCTTAATTACTGGATATTGCATGACAAATTGTGCCCTGCAGGTGAACAGGCACAGAATGTGGTAAGGACCGGCTCTGACTTCTAAGCAAAGGTTTGTATTTCCTTTTAAGATACATTATGCTCTGAAATAATCATCTGTGTTTAAGAGAATAAAGTATTTATTATATAACGATTTCCACCTAAGGATCTTGGAGCTCCTTATGGGCACTAATGATTGAAGTGTTCTGTTCTAGTTTGCAGCTTACCAAGAAGAATTTAAAGCAGCATCTGAACACTTTCCCATTAACCTCAAAAGTGACTAATACACAAATGTGTGGTTTGTTCCCCTCTCCTCTCCCCAGTGGATTTTGTGTTGCAGTGTGTTGGTGCTACAGGTGTAAGAAGCAGAGCTTGCAGTCTGAATGGGCAGGTACTGCCCTTAGAGAACACATTCTCCAAATTTTGGAAACTTGCATTCCTTGCAAAGGCCAATATTACATTATTGCAGAGAAGCTACAGTTTCAGGAGATCTTCATTCATGCCATTCTGTTTTGTTCCTGCCTTGTACACAGTTACTTGCCCGACCTCTCAATTCAATGGCTCAGGAAGTTACACTGGCACAATGCATGTATTTATGTGGGAGCGTTAGGCTGCACTGAATCCCTGACCAAAGTTACTGCAGAACCAGTCAAGTGCTGTAGCTGACAGAACTGTATAAACTCCTGTGGAACAGCATATCCAGGACCTAACTTGATTTGTCTAAGTTCAGTTTGGAGTGTTCAGTCTTCAGAGCATGCACTAAAATCCTTATGTTTTACCATGAAAATGGTCAAATGCTGGAGCAGGTTGTCTGGAGAGGCTGTAGAACCTCCAGCCTTGGAGGCAATCAAAACTGGACTGGCTGAGGCCCTGAGCCACCCTCTATAACCGATCCTGCTTTGAGCAGGGATGGGAAGGGTGGCCTTCAGAGACCCTTTCCAACTTTTTTAGATGCACTAAAATGAATGAATGGCTGGATCAGTTGTATCACAGAGAGCTGGCTAATGCCCTGGTACGGTGTGTGAAAGCAGCTGAGTGGTAACACACAGGGTTTGTGGCAAGGAGCTACCCCAGATGTAGGAAATATCTCATGTATATGTATGAGCATCTCTAAGATCTGAATGTCATGCTCTGGCAGATCTAACTAGCAATTTAAAATACTGTCTTTGCTGTCTACAGTGTGTTGCTAGCTCTTCTGGGTGACAGCCTGTGCTGTACCCTTGCCCATGCCCAGAGCTATTAGCTATTCAAGTGACTGAGGAAAGGGGCTTGTGCAGAGCTCCCTGATGCCCAGTGACAAGGATTGATGTTCCCATTCTTCTTGTGCCTCCCCTGGAACAGGTGTGTTAGCCTAGGACAAGAGAGTAGGGTGGAGAGACTTGGATGGGAATGCCTGCAACCACCCCAGTCATAGTCATTCACCCCAGAGTTAAACCCAAGGCAGCACTTCTAAGCTCAGCCACCTCTAAACCCATATTTTTGGGGTCCCAAGACATTAATTTGCTCTGTTTTCTTTTTATCCTGTGTCTGATTTTCTGTAGGTGTCATTTGTGGGGAAAGTTCTATAGTTTAAATCAACATGCTGAAATTTATACTGGAACTGACAGCAGCATGCAAATGTCTTTGTGGCCCTGGTGCCTATTTGCACAATGGATGTGAGCATTATCCTGACCTGTAGCAAAGGTGACCAGTAAAATGGCCAGTGTCTCCTGGCTTTAGGCAGGTCCGTTGTCAGTGGAAGAGTCTTGATGCTTCTTGGGATTTCATCATCCCAGTGCCTGGAGTCATGTGGTTACGTAAGAATTTAAATTTCGGTTTTTGTTAAGCATGTGTTTATATCTCGAGATCAAAGAGGACAGTTGGGCAATACGAACCTTGCAGCCCCAGAGCCTGAAGCAACAGGCACCGTCCAACGCTGACAGCAGCAATATCGGGAAGATCACCGGAATTCTGGGGATCAGGCTCGTGGGCTGGCACCCGTGGGTGCAGCCAGCAGGGCAGCTCCCTCCGCCCGACCCCCCAGCTATAGGAAACACCCCCGGACTCTGCGTCCCTTGGCCAGGTCCCCGAGAGAGTCGCCACCCTCGCTCCCGGCGTCTGCTCGGCTCCGGTGTCCCCGCTCCCCGCTGGCGCTCCCGGCCGTGCCCGTGCCCGGGGGGCGCATCCCCCTCGTCCCTTCTTGGCCGGTGGCTGCCCGGGGCCCTTTCCCGCTTCCCTGGGCTGGGCATTCAGAACTTCAGAGCTGGGCGGTCCCGGCATGAGTCTGCAGCCTCTCAGGAATGCTGCTAGTCTGGTGGGTGAGTCTTCATTCCTCGCCTTTCACTGCTCCCTGCTGGTCTCCGGGAAGCTGAGCACTGGGGGAGAAAAGCACAGGAGACCAGTGGCAGCTGAGGAGTATTGAATCAGGGTGCTCTGACCCCAGAGGTCCCTTCTTCAGCCACCGGCTGAAAGCAGGTCCAACGGGAGTGTGTTGCTCACTGTGTTGTCCAGTTGGATTTAGGATGTCCCTGGGAATGGGGTTTCTACTACATTTCTGGGCGACTTGATCTAGTGTTTGATCAGTCTCATGGTAAATAGTCAGGATCTTGTGGACATGTATTGAAGAGTTAGTGTTTCCTTGCTGGTTTCCCAAACGTTTTGCAAATGCCAAACACTCTTTCAGTGAAGCAGCTCCTCAGCCAGGTGGCAGTCAGTACTATTTTATAGAGTTATTCTCTCCCAGGTGAGGGAGTTGCATTTGATTATTTCTTTCATGAAATTATCAGCCATTCCTCCAGCCTATTTGGATTCCTCCAAGTGGTAGCACTGCTCTCTAAGCATGTCAGACACTACCTCTGATGTGGTGTTGTGCA